AGGGCCTAAGAGCCGGGCTTTACTGCTGGGAAACCTGAAGTGCGGGCTTAGGGAGCTGCGTCTCTCCCGCCACACCCTGACTTTCAAATTACAGCCTACTCCTCCGCTTCATTCATCGGTCACCGAATGTGCCTAGGACAGCTGCCCGACTGTTGGCGTCCATCGGGTTAATTAGACCAGGTTGGTCACTGTGTTTTCAGGACGTACAGGCCTGTGAATCGCAGGCTCTGATTACTTCACTAACAAGCTGTAAATCCAGCGCCAGGCCTTTCATTTCACCGGTCTCAACTTTAAGTGGAAGAGCCTGATTTACCCAGCTTCTTCCACCATCGGCTCTCTGCCCTCATCCTTTGTAACCTCATGGTTACTAAAATACATTAATGAGATATGACCCATTCTTTCTAAAATAGAACCAAAAACATAAGTACCAATCACAGCTTTAAGTCAATAGGAGAACCACTTTCCCCTCCCTGACTTGATAAACTTTAACGTGGGCCTAAGAGAAATGTTTTAGGTGGTTACTTTTTTTTTTTAACTTCTTTTTTGACTTCTCCTCCTCCTTCCTTTTTTTTTTTTTAAACTGTGTTACTGCGGATTTCTGGGCCCTAGCTACCAGAATTGCTAATCCAGTAGGCTTGATATGGGGCCCAGAAATTTGCATGCTAACAAGCGTTCCTGGTCACTTGACTACACTCTGTAAAACACAGCTCTGGAGATTATAAAGACACGCCTACCTTCCCTGCTTGGTAATGACCACTGATGGCTAAGAGGCCTCTCAGCTCTGACAGTACTTTTAAATACCCAGGCTACAGCTGCCATCCGAATAATCCCCACTGAACAAACCATCTGTCCCCCTCCCCCACTCTGTTTTGTGTAAGGCTTTTGAGATTTTCCTCTAAAATTGTATACAAAAGATGAAAGAAGGGGAAAAAGACTTTATTCAGCAAATGTTTATTGAGGACTTACATGCCACGCTCTGTACTAGGCTCTGGGAGTGTGCGGATAGCTGTCTTGTGTTAGGACTTCTCAGAGAAGAAGGTTCTCTCCATAGAGAAGAAGGTTGGGACACTTAAAAATATAAAGGCTTTATGTATATTTGTTTGCTGTAGAATGGGTACCAGTACTGATTTTCTTGTGGAGTTTAATCCTTCAAAGTTGTTTACATTAGCTGGTGTTTTTTATCTGGGGGCAGTTAGTAAAATATGAACCTTGAATCTTTAGACTTTTTACATTTTAATGCTATAGTTAACTCAAAGTGGAAACAGTTGCTTTTTAAAAGCTTGCTCCCCGCCCCCCAGCTTTATAAAAATATTTACTCTTCTGTTTGGGTGGTCCGTGCAGTTTAGAGGCAGGCTTGTGTTGGCTGTACTTTTCTAGACAAAGCATTCTCTTGCTTAATTCTTGTATTTCTTAGATTCCAAGACACACTTTTTTTTTTTACACTTCTGAAATTGTGATGCAGCTTATTATTTTTGTATGTTTATTGTGGTGGGCTGTGTCCTCTGTTGTCCTCTCCACCTTCCAAAAGCTGTTAAAATGTTTGTCTTACAATATGGATAGAGTGAGAATCAGAGAAATAGTATGTTTACCCAGTAACCTCTAAGCTTGGTTCCAATTAAGCAACAGATCATTTCAATATGAACATAAGCAGTAAATGATGTAACTTTTGGCAGTATAAGTACTGAAATTTATGTTCTAACAAAAGCATTTGTTATGCACCGTTGTGGTTTATTTTGTCAGTGATTGGAGATGGGAAAAATGCTCCAAGTGATTTTATTTTTGGCTGAAGTATTTTGCACATTTTTTTTACCACTCATCCTGGTGAGCATGCTTATGCTGTTTCCATCTATTATGCTTAAAGAAAACAGGCCTTTTGTTTGCATCTTCCTGCTGCTCACATCCCTTAAATAAACTTAATTGACAGGTTGTGAGGGATAAGAGATGTGTGGCTGAATATGAAATTATTTTATCATTATAGGATACCTTTAATGATCCAAACCTTCTGAGCCAACCTAAGAGTTTTTAAAAATTAAATGTGAGCCATGTGTCAGGGGGTCCCCAAGACAACCCCTAGGGTTGGTGATTTGCTAGGACTCACAGCTGATTTATTACAGCGAAAGAAGACCAAGCGCACAATTGCTGCAGCCGCTAATTTTGACAACACGTGTGAAGTGCCGCGAACCAGGGAAGCTCATTAGACACTCAGTGCCTAGGGTTTTTATTGGGGGCTGATCAGGCAGGACCTCCTTGCCTGGCAGACATCAAAGTTCCTGACGCCCAGAAGGAATGCAGGTGATGGTCATAACCCCCATCGTTTGTAGAGTTGAGGCTCAGTGAGTTCCTATTATCAGTTAATGGCGGTGAGAACACTCTCGGCTACATGCTGGCGTTTCAAAGGATAACAAGTAAATTTTCTGCACACGCAGGACTATTGACTGAATCTGTTTTCATATCTTTTTGTATTTCTACATTTCTGGGTTCCAAGTTCTAGCAATATTTTGTCTCACTGAAGCCTTGATTCTTCAGTTGAGAAATCAAGCTGGTCTGTTTCACTGAAAAGGAATAGGAAGCATTTTCAGAAAATGTGTCTCATTGATGATAAATCCTAAAGCACCAAATTTGTTTCTTCCCCTAAGTTTAAGGGAAAAAGCTTTTAAGCTTAAGCCCTTACCCATTCAAGGGAAGCTTTCAGAATAAGTTTGTATTAGTTTCCTGCCATGGTCCTGTGTTTCCCTACCAAAAGCACTTGGTCTTTTGAAGGAACTGAGCTGCTTATGGGTTCAAAATTTAGGAGCTAAAATGAGACTTCTAGAGAGTTTTATATATTTGTGCCCGCTTATCCGTGGAAGATAATGTGCCAAGACCCCTAGTGGATGCCTGAAACTGGATAGTACTGAACTCTATATATAATAAGAGTTTTTTCCTATTCATACATACCTACAATAAAGTTTAATTTATAAATTAGGCACAGTAAGAGAATATCTGAATTGCCAGCATCACTACTTCTGTGCTTTGAAGCCATTATCAAGTAAAACAAGGGTCACTTGCACACCATCTCTGCAATAACATCGACAATCTGATAACCACGGTGGCCACTAAGTGACCATTGGGCTGGTTACACTGGACAAAGGGATCTTCTAAATTTATTTTCTAGATTTATTCTGAACTTAATCAATTCTAAATTTATATGTAAGTTGTCGTAAGTGTGACACGTTCTGCTGCCTGCTTCCCAGGCCAGACCATTCATTCTACTCAGTCCACAGTGTAACTGAAATACAGCTTAGTTATAATGATAAAAGAGCAGAAAACTGTTCTTGCAATTCTGATAACCCAATAAAATAGAAATGCATAACACTTATAAATAAGTTACTGGTCTCTGGGAAAAAGTGGTTTTCCTAAGCACAGTGGTTTTTAACCTTTTGAGGGGATGGGGACTCCTTTAAGAATCTGGTTAAAGCAGTGAATCCCCTCCACCCTAGCCTTCCTATGGGGAAAAAATGTACCATAAAACAGAATTTTGCAGTTTCAGGAAATTCACATAATTTGAAGTCCTGCTCTTGAAGTCCAGGTGAAGGGCATCTGCGCTGCGAGCGGGACGGCAGTTGTGGTTTGGGGTGGCTCTGAGAGACCTTGGCAACACTTAGGAGGGTTGCTTCTCTTAAGACTCAAGTGTGGTCTGTGGCCCAGCAGCAGCATCATTACCTGTGAGCTTGATAGAGATGCAGACTCTCAAGCCCCACCTGACGTCTAGGTGCCCAAGGGGATGTGTGTGCCCATGAAAGCCAGAGGGAGGAGCGCTGTGTTAGAGGTTAATGATGTTGCTATTTGTTGTGTCTTATGTTAGTTAAAAAGTTACAACTTTTAAAAGGCTTGGGATGTAACTGTATTTACTCTTCATTTTTCAGCTCCTAATTAGTTTCTTGTTTTATTTTTTAATGGGAGGTTTCTGGTAAAGTGTCGATTTTTAACAATAAGCTGAGGTTGGAAGTAAGGTGGCCCAGGGGCTTGAGGAAAGACTTGGGAGCAGGCTACTTCTTGCTTCAGCCACCAGGTGGCACCACTGTCCCCGATGGTCTGGACAGCAGCCCTTGGTAGTTCTAGGTCAAGTGTTTTTAACTCAGTGCATCTAATTAGAGCCGGGACCTGGTGCTGATTAAAGCCAAATATAAGATTTCGACTTTGCTTCGTCAATGGCCATAGGCTAAAACTGTGACTCGGAACTGCTGAGGCCATTGAATTGTTTAATTTGGGATAATTATACCTCCTAATAAGTAATGCATTCTGTGACTTAGTGCTTGTGTACAGGAGAAACATGCTTTCTGTGAATGTGTGATCTGAGTGGTGTTTGAGGCTGAGTCATACCTTGGAAGAAGTGGTGTTGGCTTCCCACTGAATCTTATCCTGGAGGAAATGGCCTTGGCTGAGAAGAGTCCGTGTGCTTGTTGTGTGTGCACTCCTGACGCCGGCACTGGGAAACCCAAACACGTGTTTTGTCCTTTTGGCAGGTTTGCAGCTCCTTGCAGCATTGTGCTGAAGACAACAATGCCGAAGAAAGCGAAGCCTGCAGCAAATGGGCAGGAAGAGGGGCCTGCTCCCTGTAAGCAGATGAAGGTGGAGGTGGCCGAGGGGCCTTTCCCTTTGAACTTTGACAGCCCCAGTGGCCTCTTTGAAAGTTTAATCTCACCCGTCAAGGCAGAGACTTTTTTCCAGGAATTCTGGGAGCAGAAGCCCCTTCTCATCCAGAGAGATGACCTAGCGCTGGCCACATATTACCAGTCCCTGTTCAGGCTCTCAGACCTGAAGAGCCTGTGCCGCCAGGGTGTGTACTACGGGAGGGACATCAACGTCTGCCGTTGTGTCAGTGGGAAGAAAAAGGTTTTAAATAAAGATGGCAAAGTGCACTTCCTTCAGCTGAGAAAAGACTTCGACCAGAAAAGGGCAACAATTCAGTTTCACCAACCTCAGAGATTCAAGGTAATGGATCTCCGCGGTGCAGGGGCCTCGTGTGTATTGAAGCACTAACACTTGGCTGCTGATCAGCTCAGGGGTTTGATTATGATTAGCCTCCTGCCATCAGTTGAGTTTGAGAAGAGGTAGCACCTGTCTGGTCTTCAGATGCACTCCAGCTTCAGTGATTTTTGTGTTCCCTTTTGGCTAAACAGGATCTCTAACAGCTTGGGGTGGACATGGCTAGGTGTCACTGAGCTGCAAAAACTAAATTATATTGCAAGTTTATAAAGTTTGTTAAAGTGACATGACAGCTCCAGGAGCATCTCCGTGGGCTGGTGTATGTTTTGCTATATGGTAGGCATCTCTGTTTGGTTTGTCCCATCACTATGATTTAAGGCATGATAGCATCAAGGTGATCATTTTCTTCATGAAGTTGCCTCCCTCTGCTGCCTCCATCTGCCAAATCAGAGGCTTTGGAGCAGTGACCAGACCACACAGCAGCTGCATGTTCAAGAAAGAGACTTCACCCTTCTTAAGAGCCACCGGGCTGAGGGGCAGGGCCCTGGAACTGCTGCTGGGGGCAGTCATAGGTGGACGGTAGCTTTGATTTGCCAGTTGGAAAGACTGGCTAACTTTTCTTTATTCTCCATCAGTGGTTGACATTTGAGGAATAATTTGCACCCCACCCTCCACCCCATGCTCATTTTCTGTGTTTGTAAAACGTAGACCTAGGATGAGCTAATCTGCTCTCACAGAGGTTTGAGATCTTTATGTGACAGGTAGCTCAGAGCAACTGAGGGCCTGTTCTTAGGTAAAAGTTCATCCCCCTTCAGAAATCCCCTTCTGTGACCCGTGGCTGAATTGCCCCATCAGCACGGGAGGAGGGGGAGAGCAGTGCGTGAAGTCCCACGTCGAGGGGCTGAGTTCTGGCTGTGTGGCTCCCAGGGCCTTGTCACCAGCTACCAGGAATGCCTCTTATGACTGAATTCAAGGTGCCTTGTTAGATCCGTTAGGCCTCACTCATCTTGTGAATGCCTTTCCCTTTTTTGTCCACGGCCTCCTGAACCTGTTTGTACTCTTGCATAAAGTGAAAGTATTCTGAAACTTTTCAGTATAAGTCCTCACTCCAGATATTCCATCTCATGCAGCCCTGAGCAGTTGAAATGCCCCTGCAATGCCAGCCTTTTGGCTCTAGCACCCAAAAGGAATTTATGAATCACTTGCCAGACCAAGTGGTGATTTGCATTCAGAAAATATGGACAACAGGGTACTTCGCTCTGAGCTAGTCTTTGACTCTACTTGGCTAGAATCAGCACTTTTTTTTTAAGAGTGTTTTTTCAACGCCTAAGAACTATGACTGGAAAAGACCAGTGAGGTTGATTACATGTAATTTGGTTGCAGACCAGCGGGAAGTTATTGTTTGGTGTGTGTGTGTGGGGGGGGTCCTCTGCGGCTGTCTTTTCTGTGCTTCAGAATCATCCTGGGCTCTCTGCTCATCTGCCTAAGCGCTGCACATTCCTCCTTCCCAGTTTCCTGTGGCCGAACGCATTCCCTGTGCCCTGTTGACTCAGCTCTTAGCGGTGTTCATTAAAGCGGGAAGGATGCACTTTCCCAGTCTCCACTCCGCCCCCAGGCCAGACTAGGGTGCATCCTGTTTGTTTTCTCTCTCCACCACCAGGACCTGAGAAACCTGTCAGCTGCAGGCTCTCACCCGCTTGCTGGGTTCTAAGTAGTGTTATGTGGCAATTTCGTGTTGCGTGTGTATGTTTACTAGTGGACACAGCGCTCTCAGGATAGAGAAAATCTGGAGCAGTTCCTCTCTGGCCAGGGTGAGAGACTGTCAGAGTGAACAGTCAGCCCTTTCTTTATCAGGTCCCAGAATGTGCACAGCTTATTATGCTAGTTAGTCTGGAAATGAACAGCCTAGAGGTTGTTGCCCACCTGCTTTGTGTGATCTGTATATCAAAAGTCCACTTGAATTTACCAAATACTTGCACGTGTGTTCACTGTCAGTCTTTGCAGCAGACATTTGAAATCATTAGAGCAGTCGCTGTGGTCTCCATTGAAGTTCACAAATGGGACTTCCATAGCTACTAAGGAAGGACTTCTGACTCCAGATTGAGGGCATTTTCCTAACCATATGTCTAAAGATGTTAACTGAATTATAGTAGGGCTTTTGGCATGCTTGTTTTTGCTTTTCTTTAGGCATGAACGTGGGCTTCTGGGCTTAGCCGTTGCATTCGGCTTTGATAATGCTTGTAGGTCAGTGGAGAGAGGAGGGGCTCCCCCCTCGCTTTCCTGTTGTCCTGGGGTCCTCCTTGGCTTCTCCAGACATAGCTGGGAGACAGGAGTTAAAGGAGACAGATTTCAGTAGCCTTGTTTTTGCCTAAGTCAGCTCTGGTGAAACTGTAACATTTGTATACTGCTTTGCATTTTAGATAGGATCTGAGATGAGTTTTATGCTGTTCCCCACCATCTTAGGATAGGAGTCTTCACTTATACAAACAGAGAAGTTGAAGTCACCTAGCTTGTAACTACAGCTTGGACTGACGTGGTTTGACTCCAGATCTCTTTCTAGTGGACCACACTTGCCAGATTCGGAAGCTAGAGGTCCGAGAGAAAAACTGTACAAAGGATAGGGTTTTCAGTAACCTTTAAGAAGAAAAGAGATGTGTACTCCTCAATTCCAGACCCAGAAGCTTGAGTTAGGAGCCATAAAGTCACTCAAGGTTCTGAGACACCACTAGGGCCATCAGAGGGGCTGGGGGTGGGGAGAGGGGAAGCAGGGAGAGAGAAGCCGGTTCCAGTTACTGTATAAATGGAATTACAGAGCCAGGTATCCATTAGGCTGCTTGGGAGATCTGCTAACTCTTTGGAGCTATTCAGATGCTATTAAATTATTATCCTTCCTGTGTTAAGTAGAATCCCTGAGATGCAGAGTAGCCCAGTGGTCTATATACAGGTGTCTCTCAAAGCTTCTTTCCTGCTGACCCAGTTCTTCCCCACTTGGTATTTGTAATACTGCAGATTTTTTTTTTTCACTCCAGTGGCAGGATTGACTCCCAAGCCGCGGTCATTGGTTTCCTTAGCAAATATTTAAATACTTCAATGTCTTCTGAGTGCCAGGCACTGGACATTCATATGCTTGAAACGTGGGGCCCCAGTGTTCTTTGTAGGTGGCTCTTCTCTAAGACAGTCCCCTGGAGAGGCAGTGCGGAGTTGTGGCAAAGGTGTGGGCTCTGCAGCCAGGCTGCGTGGATTTGAATCCCAGGATTTGAATCCAAGAGAGAGTTGCTGGGAGAGGGGTAGAACTACAGTGTGAAGTAAAGCCCTCGGAGATAGTGCCTGGCCTGTGAGAAGCGCTGGCACCCACGTGGCCAGGTTGGGCCTCTCCGCTCCTCGCCTGCCTTGGGAAGATCAGTTTCTCCCTCCCAGGGGTGGTGGCTCCTCTCTGGGTCAGGCCCTGGGGAGCTGACTGGGGCCGGAGGGAGGGAGCATGACTCGCCTCCGAGCCCCCTTCTCCGTCTGTACCCTCTTCCTAAGCTGTCATTTCCTCTCCCATTGCTCTAATACCAGTGCTGTGAGGGCTGGTCCCCAAGTGTAAATCCCAGTCCTTATAGCTTGCAGGAACTTCAGACTTCGCCAGCCAGAGGCTTCCTTAAAAATGCCTCCACATGGGGGTCTTAGCAGCTCAGACTTAACGTTTCTGAGGTACAGCTTTTCTGTTTTCTCCCTGAAAACTTGTTCTTTAGCAAATCTCCCATTTCAGTGGAACTGGGAGCTAACCAACTGCCTCAGTCAAAAGCCCAAGAGTATTTGTCGGTCTTATTCTGCCCCCTCCCACACCCCTTTGTAGCTGGGCCATCGGGATCCTGTCAGTGCTGCTTCTAGAGCACATCTCGGCATTGCTGCTCATCTCTCCTGTAACCAAGCAGGACCCTCCCTCACATCCTCTGCTGTAGCTCCTCTCTGAAGTACCCAGATAACAGTATCTGATGCGCATTTCCTGAGTTGTTTTACAGATGCTAAAACCACCACCAAATGGGAGAAGTTAACTACTTGATAATCATGGGCACATAGCCCCCAGACCTACTGGCACCTAAAGATTAATACTGTTAACCCCTGTGACACCGCCCTGTTACCTCACCATCAGCCCATCACAGAATTGTGCACGAGCTGATCGCATACCCTGGGACTGCCCACGTCACCTTTAAGAGTGCTTTGCTGAAACCCTTCAGGGAGTCGGGGTTTTAGAGCAGGAACCACCCATACTCCTTGTATTAGCGCCTTTGTAGTAAACCCTGTGCTCTCCTTCACCACCACTCGGTGCCAGTAGATTGGCTTTACTGCGTGCGCGGGCAGGTGGGCGGACCCAAGTTTGGTTCAGTGACACCACCACTCTGGTCACTTCCCCCTTACGCTGCTGCCTTAGTAGCTTCCTGATTGCCCTCTCTCGCTTTTCTACCATCCATTCTCCATACCGTAGCTGGAGAGAACTCTTATAAACGAGAATTGGGCCATATCTTTGTCCTGTTTAAAATCCTTCGTGACTCCCTGTTGCCTGCCTCGCTGTTGCCTTGTTTATCTGCCACCTCTTCTCTGCTGTGCTGCGCTGGACGGAAGGGTCTTGAGGGCAGAGGTGCTGGCTCAGTCACGGATGAACTCCCAGTGTCTGGAACGTAGCAGCTGTGCATTAAAGACTTGCTGAGCAAATAGGATCATGTTCTCCTCTTACTTCTAATGTATTTTTCACCTCTTCCTCCTCCACCTTTCTTTCCCTTTTTTTTAAGGATGAGCTTTGGAGGATCCAGGAGAAGCTGGAATGCTACTTTGGCTCCTTGGTTGGCTCGAATGTGTACATGACGCCCGCAGGAGCTCAAGGCCTGCCACCCCATTATGATGATGTCGAGGTGAGAGGGGAGGAAACTGCTGGGCTCCGGGAGGAGAGAGTTGCTGCCAGGTCAGGGGGTCGTAGGGTTCAGCTCAGCTCACCAGCTGGGTCTCGCCCACTCTTCCTGTGTGGGCTCTGGAGAGCTAGACCTCCCTCACTTCGGTGAGGGGCCAAAATTAATCCCACCAAACTGGTTTCCTGCTCCTTCAGAAAGGGGAGAAATTATTTCCTAATAGAAAAAGCCGCACATTCTTATGAAGCAGGTATTTATTGAATTTATCTACAGAAAAGTGTGATTGGCCTTTTTCTTTAATTTCACAACGTATGGTCTTTAATAAGGTGGGGTCACAAGTAATCCTTCCATCTGCTTTCATTTTGTCCTTTTTCTGTAACTGCCAAAAATATATATATTTTTTCCATTTGTGAAATTCTTGGGGAAGCTCGAATGAAGGTCATGGTTTCACTTAAGCACTGGCACCTTGACAAGTGTTGATTTCACTCTCATGTGGCTGCCAAAAAAAGTTAACTCTTTGGCTTAGGTATTTTGTAATTTTATTTTTGTACTAATACAATGTGTGAACATAGAGTTATTAGTCAGAAGAAACCTGTTTTTTCCTCCTTTGAGAGCAATTTGATATCAAGACATTTTCCAAAAGTTTTTTTTAAAATTTTTTAACAGAACTTTAAAATATCTTTGGTTGAATGAAGAATTAAAAAACTTGAAGTCTTCCTCTGTGCCAGGGATTATAGTCAGGATTTTAGACACCCAGTAGTATCTGAAGCTTGGCTTTTCCATCAGAGATTATAGGCTTTCTGCTGTCTTGATAGGAGATTTATGGGGATGCGATAGTGGGCTGGATGGTGGAATATAAAGAACTCTTGTGAGGCTTTATGAAAGTGAAAAGAATGAATAGTCTTCCAGTGTCAGGGTTCATGATGACCTGGTTTTAAAAGTGATTACTGGTAATGGTAACTTGTATTTCAGTGTGGAGTGAAATGCATCTGTGACCTTTCATTTTTATTTTTCATCTGAGATTTGTAATTCGTCTAAGCCCCGGCAGGGGAGACTCTAGGAGCACTTTGCCTGTGAGCCGTCAGGAGGCTCCCTGACACTCCCGGGCCCTGGGCTCCGCAGGTCTTCATCCTGCAGCTGGAGGGAGAGAAGCACTGGCGCCTGTACCGCCCGACGGTGCCCCTGGCGCGGGAGTACAGCGTGGTGGCCGAGGACAGGATCGGGAGGCCGGCACAGGAGTTTACGCTGAAGGTACGGGCTGCCGTGGTGCGTGCCTCTCCGGCGAGAAGTTTGGCTTGAGGGTTAGTGTTTGTGTCCTGGTCCCCTGGGAACGTATCCAAGAGACTGTGGGCGGGTGGCTCTCATTCCACGTAGCTGGTGCGGGGAGCTTCTGAGGGAGCCCTGGTGGTCGGTACTCATGGAACTGAGCTGAGCAAATGTTAGGTTCGTTTTGCATACCACCTGCCTCCGAATATAATCCAAGTTCGACAGGAATGAAGTATGGATTCAGTGACCGCTGACTTCTCTAGAGTAAACGTGGAAGGCACGGCCTTGGCAGCTTCACCAGGTCCGAGACAGTGGTCAGTGCTGGGTCGTAGGTCACCTAGGCAGCCCACGGCCGGGGACTCCTTAGCTTTTCTGTAGGTAAAATTCCAGTTTGATCCCTTGTGCTTGTGCTTGTGCGGTAGACTCTCCGCGCGCCCTTCCCTTCCCCGCATACAGTCACCAGAATAGTCACCCTGCAGGCTCCGGGGAGACCTGTGCTGGACGGAGCATGTGCTGGCCTGTTGGCACCTGCTGCTGAGACAGCATGTCTTTGAGCTGTTAGCCTGGGTGGGATCAGAGCCAAACCCCGCAGGTGAGGCTGCTGCGAAGAAATCTTAGAGAAATAAGAACAGCTGCATAATTAAACTTTATACCTTTTCCTACAAAACTTCGATTTAATTTCCTTCAGTGGTAAAAGTTGATTCAAACCATTCCAAAGATTCTAAGTCACCTGGTAGACTTGCACAGGGCTATTGTTTTTGTATTTCTTGTGTCTTAAAGTTGTAATTAGTATCTAATTCTCACTCACTGCCTTGTGGCTCTTTCTTGATTGTAAAATCTTTGCCTGCCTGCCGTAGCTGGGAGAAACAATCTCCCTTTTTAGGATGGGTGCCCGTGTCATAGGGGACTTGAATAAATACAACAGTAAAGGTACCTTTTGTTTTTTTATGCTCTTGGTCAGCGGTCAGCCAACTGGCCTAGCTGCCACCAGGACCATGTGGCCCACAAACCAGAGATAGTTATTATCTGGCCCTTTTCAGGAAGAGCCGGCCCTGCTCTTGGCTGATTGTTTTTAAGCCAAAGACTAAGCCATCCATGGTCTCTGAGGCCAGGGCTGGGCTCCTCAGGCTGACATCTTGCCCTGCCTGAGAAGGTCGGGCTGCATGGTGGTCCTCGAGGTGTGGGGCTTGGAGGAGGCAGAGCAGTGCCCACTGGTCGCAACACCCATCCTGATCACAGTTCATGAGAGAAGTTCTGAGTCTTCTGGAAGGAGAAAGACAGCACTGTGTCCTGCAACGTTTTTCAAGTTGATGTTGATTGAGTTTTTAATCAGTGAAATTCTTCTAATGAAATCTGGCATAAATGCCCAATATATGAAATAGAAAAGCTGAGTCGCTCTGGGCAGGGGTGGGCGTGGTGGCTGCAGTCGGAGGCCTGGAGCCCTCCTCACCCTTTCCTTCCTGCTCCAGCAGCAGCCTGGCTGGTATGTCTGCCAAGCATGGGGTCTTGGGGCGAGGACCACCCCTGTTGGTATCGTGTCTCTGTGGCTTGGGGACTAACAAACCTGGGTTTGAATTCAGCTGCTGTCACTTACAAGCTGCATGTCCTTGGGCAAGTTATTGATCTCAGTTTTGATTTCTTCTTTATTAAAATGGACATCATAATGCTGACCTTGTAAGTGGTAAGGATTTTAAAATGTTACTTTGATGCTTCCTTTATAGTGGAATTCCTTGGACAAGATGGCTGTGTGTCATTTTATTGCTGCTTACCAAATTACCACAAACTCAATGGCTCGGAGCAACACAAATGTATTATCTTGTTCTGCAGTTCAGAAGTCCAGGGGTTTCGCTTAGCTGAAATCAAGGTGTCAGCAGGAGGCTTTAGGGGAAATTTTATTTCCTTGTCTCTCCCAGCTTCAGAGGCCACCTGCATTCAGTGGCTCATGGCCCTTTTCTCCATCTTCAAAGCCAGCACCAAGGGGCTTGGTCTTTCTCTTGCTGCCCTCTCTCTGGTTCTGTCTTCCAATACCGCCTTCCACTTTTAAGGATCCTTGTGGTTACATTGGGCCTTCCTAGGTAATCCAGAATAATCTTCCCGTCAGCATCCTTAATTCCATTTGCAGCCTTGAGTTACCTTGTCCATGTAACCTCCCTATTTATAGGTGGCAGGGATTAGGAGGTAGACATTTTTGGGGACCCTGCCACAATGCCTTGTCTTCCTTTCCTCTTCTCTCCTGCTCTTGGGAACCCCTCCCAGCAGGCTTTCCTCCCCACCATTCCTCTAGAACTACTCTCAAGGTCACTTCCACCTTGTCAGGTGGTCAGCTCTGAACCCCATCTCAGTCTGCCTGTCGTCAGTGTTTGACACAGTGGTCACCCCCGTCTTCTTCACTGGCTTCCAGGGTGCAACCCTCTCCTGGTCCTCTCACCACCTTACTGAGCGGCCTCTTCATCCCCTTTGCTGTCTTGTCCTCAGTCGTCCCACCTTTGTTAGTTAGGATATAGGGCTCGTTTCCTGGACTTCTTTGATGAGTCAGCATTCCCTCCCAAGGTTTCAAATACCCTCTACAGTGATATATTTTAAATGCTGTGTTAGATCGCTAGCCCCCATCTCTAAGCTCCAGACTCATAATCCATCTGCCCACTCTATGTCTCCCCTGGAAAGGTAGAAGATGCCATAACTTTAATATTCCCCCAACCAGAATCCCATGTCCCACCCTGTCCCCAGCCTCCTTCTTCATGCAAATGTGTCGCCATTTTTCTGGTTGTTCAGGACAAAATTCTTAGACACATGTATACAAAAGCTTCCTATCTGGTGTCCCCTTTGCAGACTTTCTGACATAACAACCATACTGATCCTTTTATGATCCTGTGCACCTTTGCCCAAACCTCCAGTGACTTTCTATTAAACACAGAATAAAAACCAAAGTCCTTGAAATGGTCCAGAAGACCCCGTAATGTCCTCTGCTGCCTGCTCACCTCCCCTCCCTTCCCCTCATTCCCACCTGCACTCACTGTCCTGCCACACTGGCCTACCTATGTCCCTCAGCTTGCCAGACACCTTCTAGCCTCAGGACCTTTGCACTTGCTCTTTCCTCCAGCTGAATCCTTTCTCCCTAGGTAGTCACATGGCTGGCTCACTCATTTCCTTAAGTCTCTACCAACATGTCACCTTAGCCGAGTAAGGTTTAATGGACCATCCTGGGGTAAAATAGCACCTCTTACTCCAGGCATACCCTGCCCCCGGTTCCAGGAGCATCATTTCCCTCCTCCATCGAATTCACCACTTGACATTATTTGCTACTTTATTTCATCCCTCTTGCCTCACTAGACTGTCTTCATTGTGTTTATTGTCTCTTCTCCCTTCTCAGGTGTTTGTCTTCTCTTCTGGAATGTGCTGCATCAGAGCAGGTCTTTGTTTTGTTTGATGCTCTTTCCCCGGTGCCTAGCGTGGTGCCTGGGCAGGGAAGGGCTCATCACATGTTTGTGGGATGAGTGAATGAATGAATGGATGAAATACATGTGAGAGCCTCATTCAAGGCCTAGCACGCAGCCTCTCCCATATAATGGGTGTAATTATGAGTAATGCATTTATTAAATTGAAGTACTAGTTTCCCTGTCAGTTTGGTGTCATTCAGGGCACATGAGCCACCAAGATAGCACTTATGAATACATATATTATTGTGTATTATTTCTTGCTCTAAGGCAAATCTTAACATTTCAAAAAAAAAAGTTTTTACTGATATTTCTTGAGCTCTTCCTCCAGGGCCCATGCTCCTAACCAGTGAGGCAGACCACTTCCCATGGTTGTGGAGAGGAGCTGAGTGACTCTCATGATTCCCTCTCCTCTTCTGAGGCAACTGCCCTGCTGAGTGTTTTCCATCTGGGTGGGATGAGGGAGGAGGTGGCTCCAGGACGGGAGTGATTTGGGGAGAATATTTCTGTTCACTGGCTTGGGAGAGGAATAGGACAGGGTGGAGGAGGCTTACTGGCCCAAGACAGTGACTGATCTGTAGTTACGTCTAGTGTTTAGGTTCAAGTGAAGGGTTACGGGGGTTTTCATCTGTTCTTCCAAATGTCTCTTGAGCCTCTGTCGTGTGCTGGGTGCTTTGGTGGTTTAGGCCCTGCAGAGACAAGGTGGACGTAGACTCTGCTTGTAAGAGCTCACAGGTAATATCAAGGGCTGGCAGGTAAAGTCATAATTATAACACAGCCACGTGCCATCATTGCTCCAAGAGCTTTGGGTACAGTGTCTCCTTTCATCCTCAAAGTCACCCTGTGAGGTTTGGGGCAACTGCCTCTATTTCACACGTAAAGGAACTGAGGCTTTGGGAGGTCAGGTACTTTGGGGGTCACAGCCAGTGGGTGCAGCTCCTCCTCACTGCTCCACGGAAGGGTGCGGGGGACAGAGCAGGCTCCTGGGCACAGGGTATCACCTCCTTGATCCCTGGATCAGGGCGGGGTGGTTTCTGGTGAATCTGGTCTCAGCTTGTGAATAAAGAAAGTGACCTGAGGTGCTGGAAGCCCCTCCAGGATTGGGCTTCATGGTGACAGGCTCACAGACACTGCCGAGCTAGACCAGCGGGCACTGCTGAGCCCAGCATGCAGACCACGGCTAGATCACCAGGCAGAGGTATCTAGGGTGCAGATCTGACACTCACAGCCTGCATTTGTCTCTTTAAAATGTAGAGGAATGAGAAGACAGCCCTTGCTCTAACTCCCTCCCCCCTTTCTCCTCCTTCCTGTAGCCAGGAGACCTGCTGTACTTCCCCAGGGGGACCATTCATCAGGCAGACACTCCCCCGGGGCTGGCGCACTCGACTCACGTGACCATCAGCACCTACCAGGGCAGGTGAGCGCCCCTCTCCCGGCCTTGTCCCCCTACAGCTCCTCCGGGCAGCCACGGTCAGGAGGCGGTGGTGGGGAGTTGGCCGCCTCTTTACCACTTATCTAGCTCCGGGGTTTCAGGCATCCCCTGCTGACTTTGTATCCCTTCAGTGTCCTACCTGTGCCCTTGACCCATCTGGGTATTGTCCTGGAACGTCACGAACCTGACTCTACAGAATGCTGGGACTTGCCCAAGTAAAGGCTCTCGGGGTTTGGGAAGACAGAACCTTAGCTGTGGGTGTGGCGGTGTGTTTGTGATGCCAGGCTGGGCTAGTAGTCTTTCTCCTTAAAAAATTTTTTTTATTGCAGTAAAATATTTATAACACAGAATATGCCACTTTAACCATTTTTAAGTGTCCATTTTGGTAACATTAATTACACGCACAGTGTTGTACAACGATCACCACCATCTGCTTCCAGAACACTTTCATCACCCCAGACAGAAACTCTGTATCCATTGAAACCTCTGGGTCTCTTTTTAAGGTCTCCATCTTTTATAGTTCATGAAATTAAAATCAGAAAGGAAGTCTGGAACAAGGAGTCCTAAAAGCACATGTGCTGAAAACAGTTCCAATTAAAACCATGTTCCAGTTGGGTGAGTACCTGGTCACGTGACAGGACCTGGCTGCAGTGCCCTGGGAGTGATTTCCTGACAGCAGCCACCTTGCTGGTCCAGATCCCATTAAAAGCTTAATTTACTCATCACGCAGGGGCTAGACCTTGTGCTGGTTGCTGGGATTGTAGGCACTGGACTGGAGGGGCTTTGAGAGAACTTACACTCTGGAAGTGGTGGGGAGGGTGTGAGTAGTTACCAGGCAGTGTGATATATTCCATCATAGGTGTGCGGAGGGGACCCTGGGAGCACAGAGCAATGCTCTTAGCTCAGCTGGGGCATGAGGGAAGGCTTCAGAAATGACACCTGAGCTGAGGGAGATTTATGAGGAAGTAGAGGTGGGTCAGAAGGGCAGAGCAGGCGAGGCCATTCCAGCCCAAGGGGCAGCAAGTCCCCTCTGACTTCAGAGCTGGAGCTTGCAGAACAAGTGAGTAAGCCTTCCTCGGCCTCCTCATCTGGCTTTTCAGTGTGAAGTGAAGAGACTGGAGGAACCAGCTGGAGTTGGGCCTGAAGTTAGGCTCTTTGCCCACAGGTAGGAGCCGAAGCTTGTTTCAGGCTTCCTTTATGAAAAATGCCCATGTCACCGTAGCTAGTTAGGTTTCTTGCATAACAAGGAGCAGAAGGCCTCTGAGGACAGCTGAAGACAGGGGCGGTCGTAGGAGCGCGTCGTAGCATGTGGGGAAGGGCAGCCGCAGGGAGGCTGGACCAGAAGTTGACTGTGGACCACACTGGCTCTGGGCCTTGGCAGCCACAGAGTTTGGCCCATGAATGCATCCTTGGGTGTCCTGCCATCACCGATACTCAGCTGCGCCCTCTTTCCCTCCTTCTCCGCCCTTTTCATTTCTCTGCCACCAACTGGCTTTCTAGTAACTGGTTTTCCTTCCTCAGTTTCTGTTTACTCACAACATTGGCTCATCACAAACTCTCATCAGTGCCTTCTCTGACCTCCCTTGACCTTGCTGAACCTGTTAGCTTGTGCTTCCCCTGGGTGCCTGACACGCTATTTCCCAGTCCCAGGAATGAGGATCTGGTAGGCTTTCCCGGCTCTCCCCACCCCCCGAAGTCAGCGGGGCTGGGGACCAGCTGTCTGAGTTACAGAGGATGCCCCAGGGCTGTGGGCGGGCACCAGGACCCGTGAGTCTAGGCTGGACGCTGACCTGTGCCTTTGTCAGTGGGGCTGGCGCTAGAATGGGACAGATGTAATGTGAGGACCGTTGCTCCCCAGAGATGTCCCCTGTGCTTTGGTCCTGGTGCTCCTTAAGGCACAATGGACTTGGCCTCTCAGGGGTCATGTTGTTGGAACATTTGGTACCTGCTCTATGGGACAGTGGCAGGTCGATTTGGCTGTTTTATTAAAGTGAACCCCTCAAGAGGTGTTATTCCCAAACTTTGGAAAGGCCTGAGATACCTTCTAGAAAGAGCACGGAGATCAGTTTAACTGCGCTTAACCCCCTCCATGAGCTACTGTTGTGTGACGGCTACCTGGGACCCCGCGAAGGACGAGCTCACTTCCTGCTGCTGGGAGGCCTGCGCGCGTCCTCCAGGTCGAAGCGCAATCAAAGGTGTGAGGTCGGGCGTAGTGTTAAATCACACGGTGGTGAGACCACCAGGTAGGAGTGGACACCTTGGGGAAAGTGTCTCATGTGGCTTTCATCCTCTTGCCACTTTCCCAGGAGGGAAGCATAAAAGTGTTAATTTTGCTTACTGAGCGAGAAGCAAGAGCCACACTGTGAATTTCCATTTTGCATGTAGCTAACAATTTGAAATCTGCTGGTGACACAGAGGAAAATTTTGAACAGCTCAGAAATGTTGAGAGAGGGCAGCCCCACAGCGTGGGCTTCCCCCGCTGGCACACGGTTAGGATCGAGTTGAAACGCCCCAGAGAAGTCAGAGACAGCTGAACACTGACGCTCATCCTGAGCTGTTATTTTGGGCCTCTGAATTCTGCCTTCTACCCCAGGAAAACCATTGCTAGAATTTAACAAGTTGCAAAATCAATTGTTTTGAAATCGTGGATGTTGGATATTTTACTGAGAAACAGTGTCCCTCTTTTTTGTAAGGGACAAAGGAACATGTAGTGTTTTAACTGTTCAGACTGTCACACAGTCTGGGGAATCTTGCTGTTACCTTAAATGTATTGCTTTTGGATTCATTGCACTTAAAAATTTTTTCAGGTCCTATAATGATTGAGTGTTAAAGTTTCCTGCGAAGCTCTCCTCATAGGCACTGGGTTACAGCTGAAAACATTAAAAAAAATTGGTCTCTTGAACTTCCTATTTATGACAGTATGTAGTTAATTTTCTGGTATCTTTACATTTGAGATAAATCCTGAATAAAGCCTAGCTTCCCACCTTTAACTTTCCATGTGACTGTCCGGAAATGGGGAGGGCGGGCAGCCTGTGATTGATGGAGGCCTTGAGTTTTCATGCTGAGTGACGTGAAATTACAGAATTCAAGGTGCCAGGGCAGGGGAGTTGGCTTGACAATTTGTAGCTCTAGGCTTTTAATAGTCAGTGTTTTAGGCACATTTCTTACGCATTCCCTCTCTATTTTCTTGGTGCACTTTCCAGTTCATGGGGAGATTTCCTTTTGGACACCATTTCGGGGCTCGTGTTTGATACCGCGAAGGCCGATGTGGAGTTACGGGCCGGCATCCCTCGGCAGCTGCTCCTGGTGAGGAGTGAAGGCAGGTGGGAAAGGAGGGGAAGCCGCAGCCCAGGCCAGCTAGAGCAGTGGCAGCCTCCTTGGGACCCCAGCATCCTTCTCCCCACGTGAGCCAAGCTAGCCTCCTCCCATGCTGACCTGCCAGACTGGGTGGTGTGCAGAATGAATGGAGTGCCGCCCATCACATGCTCCCCGAAAGACCAGGGGTTCTGTGCCAACAGCCCACTTTCTGTATTTCAGGGCAGCAGTAAACGCAGCGGCAGGCACTATGGGGATGCTGGCTGCATACGTGGTTGAACAAGTAACTAATGTGGCTGGGAGAACCATAGCTTCAGCAGTGATCACGAGTGAGGAGAGACCCACTGCAGAGCCTGGCCTTGCCATCTTCCTTGACTTTTCTGTCCATCCTGTTGTACCTTTGAAACAGCACGGTTAGGCTGGTTTGGAGAAGATGAGAGCATTAGTGCTGAGTTGAGCAAAGGGTGCTTTCACCGTCTGGAGCAGTCACCTTAGTGACTTCTTTTCCCAAAGGCAAAGCCAGGACTGCACCTATCTCCAGGGATCCCTCTTTCCAGGCACACTGCTGAAAATCGACCTTTTTTTCCCCTCAAACAATGAGCAGCTTAAGATGAACAGTGGTTCTAAGGGTGTAGCGGGATGTTATTTTTAAAGGAGTGATGCGATGTGCACTGGTGGGGGGGTGCTGAGTGGACCACTCAGGAGAGGTGGGGCCTGGGCAGTCCGGGCGCTGGCGTCGGGGCCAGAACTCACTTCTGTTTCCAGCAGGTGGAAACCACAGCTGTTGCAACAAGAAGATTAAGTGGCTTTCTGAGGATGCTTGCAGACCGGCTGGAGGGCACCGGAGAACTGCTTTCAGCAGACATGAAGAAGGATTTTGCCATGAACAGACTTCCGCCTTACTACATGGGAGACGGAGCAGAGCTTTCAACACCAGGTGGAGCTGATTGTCTTCTTCGAGGTGGTTAGGGGCTAACATGGGCATTTTAGGCTTTCCTGGGTGGGCACCTCTTTAAGCTGATGGAGAGTATGCAGCATTTTGGAATTAACGTGGGCCTGTCTTTAGTGTGTTAAGGTTGGACAAGACATGCTGCTTGATGGGGAGTGAGAGCCTGTGATATTAGGTGAGAAATGTTGTGTATTTATGGCCCCTCCAGTATTCATCATCCTCAGGAAGTTTTAAGGATGTGAACATGGAAATAATCTTGTTGGAATTAACTCAGGGAGGGGATAAAATGTCATGATCCTCAGGTGACCTGCCAGGAATGCCCGTTTTCACAGATTTTCCCCAAGTCCCAGGTGACGTATTTTGTGACAAGTTGAGGCTACAGATGACATTGACAGACTTCTGGGTGGATCAGTGTCCTGGAGCAGAGGCCACCAACACCACAGTCCTGTAGTCCTGTAGTCGGACACAGCTCAGCTCATTGATTTGTCATAACAGGGAAGACCACACACCACTGGGGACTGTGGGGGTATCTCAGTAAAAGGATGTTGGAAAGGATTTAGAGGACTTGGGTTTGAGTTAGGTGATTTTCAGGGAGGTTCAGGGACACACGGCTTTGCTCTGGATTGGATGCTGTTGGGAAATGGGAGGGGTTCTGGGCTTGGGTCTCTGGTCAGGCTTCCGTGACAGCAGGGAGGAGGGGAGCGGGCTGAAGGGAGGGGTTGGTAGAGGAGCAGCAGCACTCAGATGAACTAGGAGAGGGGCGAGTTCTGTCGCTTCTGTGGTTTGGACAGCGTTCTCGATTTTGTCTGAGTGTTGCACTGATGATGAAGTGGTCTTGATTTTGTCTTGATTGCTCAGTCGCAGAATTACCTTGTTTAATGTTGGTGTTCTGTGCAGTGGCCTGTGTTTGTCGGGAGAACTTGGGGACACAGCCTTGGATGCCCAGCCAGCTCTCGGGCTGCTTCCCTCGTAGTCAGGTAGAGGGAGACTTTAATTTTCACTGACTTTCATAAAAGCCTTATTCGTCACCAGTGGAGAACCACCAAGATACACAGTCTACAAGTCCCTTCTAACGTGATTCTTTGGACATTTTTATTATAATCTCTGGGAGGAGTTTAAATTTTGTTTTTGATAACATCTATTCAAAATAGCACGTTTTCCCAGCATATGTTTTAATCCTCAGCAGAACAGTTTCCTGAGTGCCAGCTTATGGCCCAGGATGTTTGATCTCAGGTTCTCCTGTCTCAGCCCTCATAGTCTATAAAGTTGTGATCCCTCAACTCTTTCTGCAGCCAGATGACCCTGTAAGGCTAGTCTGTTTGCAGTGGCTGCTTTTTTCATTAAGTTAGATCCAATTTAGTTAAGAGCAGTGTTTTTCTGTGAGCTTTATTGGGTGGCTTTTATGTGGCCTACATAGACTGAATAGTCTGCCGTGGTCGTGCAACTAGTAATTGGTGGGGTGGTGCACCCTGAGCCCAGGAAGTCCTTTCACAGTCCATGTGTAGAGCAGGAAGGGGGGGAAACCAGAGAAGTGAGTGTTCCGTGCAGAAGGCACGCTGGCCCTGTCTGTTATGTGATGGTGTGTGCTCCCCTGGTACTAGTGACAGCTATTCAGTGAACTTCCCAATTTCTCTGGTTATTTATCTAACTGTGCATCAGTGTTCACTTTAAGAATGAGCTCCATTAAGCTATAAACTGTGCTTTTAGTATCACTGGAAACTTGGGGGTAAGCAAATACTTGAGTTGGAGAGGGCGCCCCACATGTGGCTTCGGCTGCAAATTGTTACTAAGTGTATTTTCTCAATAGTTGCCCCTGGGAACAAGCTTGAGCCTGCTGGTTCCCTCTTTTGAAGGGAGGTTTCTCTCTCTGGCTTTCCTAGGTGGACAGTTACCGAGGTTGGACAGCATGGTGAGACTGCAGTTTAGAGACCACGTTGTCCTCACTGTAGGACCGGATCCGGATCCATCTGTGAGTGTGCAGAGGGGAAGCGGGTTCCTCCCTGCTCAGGGCATTTCCATCACAGGCCCCAGGTTATCAGACTAACAGTGCCCCTGCCCTCCTCCTTTGGGAGCCCATCTTCTCACAGCTTACTTACCGTCGTCACTAGATCAGATTATAGCTCTTCTGGTTCCAAAGTTTCCTGCCTTTTGGGCGTTTGAGGACTTGTCCTCACCCCCACAGAACCCTCCTCCTCCTTGCAGGCCAGGTTGCCTTCACTTAGACGGCTGCAGACCCCGTTCATGCGTCTCCCTCTCCCGGCCCCTCTCCTGTCTTGTATACGGTGCAGAGCTGTCTTTACACATGGTTTTGTTGATGTTTCTTCTAAAAAAAAATCTCTAATCTATGGATCGTGTCAAGGGGAATCTACATTCTCTAACTACCCACCTAGCACAGCAGTTCCTAAAGCTGGCTGAATATAGTCAACTGGAAAATGTTTAGAAATTATAAATTCCTGGGCTTCATCTGGTCTATAATGTACACACAAAACCTCCCACCTCCCCATTAAACTGATAGCCAGTCAATTTGAGGCATTCTGTGTCAGGCCGAGGTGTTTGATCCTCATCTGAGAGGTGACAGGGAATGACTGAAGGTTCTGGAAGAGACAATAAACTGCACGGTGCAGGGCAGATGGAGAGGGAGGGGAAGTGGAGACCATTCCGAGGCCACTATAAAGAAATGGGAGTTTTTATAGATCCCACAGCTGCTGTTTCTCAGGAAGGAATATTTGCTCCATGGTGTTCATAAGTTGTCGGTTTATGTATACCTGGGAGTGTCAGATTTTTCTGATGCAAAAAGAGTGCAGGTATGATTAAATGAAGAGTGTTTCATTAGAAAGCCGACATATAAATGATTACTTTTTCATCAAATCAAATTTCTGAAGATGCTCTGCTCTCTTAAAAAAATGACTTGAGTGCTTGTTTGCTACCTACAAATGGTAATCTGTGATGACGATAACGAAGTAATGTATATATCACATATTGTGTGTGAGCATATATATATCCTTATATAAGTAACTTTTTGCCAAAAGGATTCTTTAGCATTTAATAAATTTCCCTTGAGCACTGAGACTTTTTTCCTTAGTGTTGACCTGTATTATTGGAAAACCCTCCTGGTATCCAAGTGATCATATTTTGGTGTTGACACTTTTTTTTTTTTTTTAAGGATGAAACTAGAGAAAAGGTCATTTACATCTATCATTCCTTAAAGAATAAAAGAGAGACACACATGATGGGAAGTGAGGAAACAGAGGTTTGTTCCAACCTAAAATGAATGTCTTTCCTGTGATTGGGTGGTGGCTGGGAAAAATCTGTTACCTTTGATTTATGGGTAATGTGGTTTTTATGACTGCAGTGTGGACTTAACGTTTCACAGATGACCAGCCCTTGCACAGCGATGAGTCAGTCCACCGTTTCTGGGATGTGCATCCTCATATCCCAGCTTTTAAAGATACTGGCTGGGACCGGTAGCCTTGTAGGGAAAGTGCAATGTGACAAATGTGAAGTTCAAATGCCTGACGTTTCTCACTGTATAAATTAGCGTGCCTTCCATGAAGTTTGAGTTTTCATATGGGAATTGGCAACTTTTGTAAGTTATCTAATTATACTTTTTGTAAATAGCTTATCTGTAACAAGGTTCATCCTTGTGAAGAGCATCAAAATGATGCTGTATTGAGAATTGTAGAAAATGCCACTTGAGTGACTAAAATAGAATCTTACTGGACTAAATGGTTTATCTCTTTTCAGTCTCATGGACTTCTCTTTCCTTTCTCGCACATGGATGCACTGAAGCAAATTTGGAGCAGTTCAGCTGTTTCTGTCAAGGACCTGAAACTTACTACGGATGAGGAAAAGCACAGCCTGGTAGTGTCCCTCTGGACAGAATGTTTAATCCAAGTAGTCTAGTGCCTTCACTTAGCCTTAAATATGTCTATAGCTACTTGATTTTAAGATACTTATATAGACACTTGATTCTACAGATATGTGTGCTTTGAGCCAAGGACGAGATGAATGTAATGTTTCTCACCCGTGTGTCTCACACCTGTGTATCTTATAACATGAGACCTGCCCGATACAGGGGGTCAGTTGGCCATAAGTATTAACAGGCACATGGAAGAAAGAACACCAGATTACTTACTAAATGCCCCAGAAAGTGACAAAACCATACTTTCTGACAAGTTTATTTAATCCAGTGTGGTAGAAAAGGCACAGCTCTAATAAGAAGTGTTTCATTTAAAATTAAATGTTACCTGGCTTTGTTCTTTGGAAGAAACAGCTTCTTTAAAGAGCCTCACTGGCTCTGGAAAAATTTTAAACAATTAACATGAAGAAAAAGAAAATTTAACTTGGTTTTTTACAATGAAAATATACATACCTTTATGTATACACAAGCTCCCCCCCATTAAAATAAAGTTACTCCTATAACATAAATTTCATTAAATAATACTGCCTTACTAGTAAGAGGCCATCGCAGCTATGGGCATAAAGGGGTTTTTACAGATGTTGCTTGAAAGGTGACAAAAGAGCCTGAGATTGAAGGAAAAAAAAAGCCCCAATAATATTTACATGGAAAGACCAAGTCTCTATAAAAAATACTCAAAATAGTGGGTCTTGAGTTAAAACAGTTCACTGTTATTTTATATTCTAAAGTGCATATAGGTTGATACTTTAAAAAATATCACTGGAGAATTTAATCTTTCTATGTAAAAATAGGGCAGATGGTTTTCTGCTTTCTGGCAAAAGTTGGGGATGATGGAAACTGTTGTGTCAATGGAGGGCAAGGTGCTTGTGGGTTGCAGGGGGACTGGTGGTAACGATTACTTGTAATCAAGTCAAAGACGATGTCCTACCTGATTTTGCTTGAATGAAAGCTATTCCAAACGGGAGTAAAAAACAGTTTGTCATTTTGTAAAGTAAAATGGTATATAAGTCAAGCTCAAATACCGCTTGGTTTTGAACGTTTGAAATTTCCTTTTACTTCAGGCGAAGAAAAATTTGATCTTTTACAAGGGTGACAGAGTCTTTATACCGTGAGGGCAGACCAGGGAGGTCTCTGCTCAGGGACAGGTAAGCCTTGGTTAGAGTCTTGTCACCCAGAAGGGTGTCTTTGTTAATACTGAGAGTGCCAGGATGGCTGCATATTATTTGTGCTTTTTTAGTTTGAAGGACCGAGCAAAGAGCAGCCACAAAACACTCCAGTAGTTGACCCTTTTTCCTTACAAAGCTGAGGCCCCTCCCTGGGGGCAGTGACAAGTGTGAATACTTACGGTGCTTCAGTTATAAAAAGCCTCAGTAGAGAACCTTGAATGTTTATCTAATACAGCAGCTTAATAGGAAGGTTTATTAAATATGTTTTCAGATATTGCTAAAGAAGTATTCACCCTTTTAAAAGTCTGACTTGACCTATAGGACCCTGCTTCCCTGTGCCTGGCGCTCATACACGCGTCTGCTAGGGGATTAACAGCTAACACAGGATGACAGCATCACCAGCGTCTGACAACAGTCAGGACTAGGATTCCTGTTCGGTGGAGAGGAGAGGAAACAGACCTCAGGAAACTTGCTCAGCAAAGCTGGAGATCAGGTGGGAATACAATCTCCCAGAAATCAGAACACGCTCTTCAGAGGAACATGGAATGACTGGCAAGAATATTTTGAGCTTTGCCATGGTTAAGAGCAACAGTCTTGTAGTTGGGGAAGAAGTTTGCTCAGTGATCCAGGAGTGTGAGGGTGAGCAGCTTCCTTTCCACGGGGCGAGGTCCCTGCTCCCTGTGCTGACTCTCAGGGAGGCTGCAGGGTCTCTCACAATATTTCAATGTCCCACTTCTGTGTTTCTTCTCCCTCCAGGGGCTGATTTACAATTACATGAGTTTTGTCATAATAATTTCCTCCTAAAATAGAAATTCCAAAAGGAAAGATCGTTTGTTCACACAGGTGCGTAACAATTTCAATTTTCACGAGCTTTTGTTTACGTCATTTGTAAAGCAGAATCTGAGGTTAAACAGGCACAGCTCTTCCTTACCTCAAGTCGCACCTTATGACTCAGACTGAAAAACTAAGAGCTGTAATAGATGCTTGCATAAGCCGTGTTCCTAACAATGGGCTTAAGAACACGGTGCTCTGACAGCACCCTGGCTCCAAGTCAGGTACTGGGTTTTTGTTTCTACACCAAAGGTGGCTATGACTAACCCACTTAGAGCAACAGCACTGAGTAACACTGGCCCTGACCTTGCTGAATTCAAAAGCACGTTTAAATGATACCTACCATGAATTTTAATGCAGGGCTTTTAAGGACCACACAATTCACGATAGAAAGTCAGAGGTGTTTCTTTAAGAAAAAGATGACATCTCATGGTTGATGATGCTTCAAACTTAGAATTGTTCTCAGAGATCATATAGTGACAGCTTTACAACTGTACTGATGAACAAAGCCTGAGGCTTTTTCTGCTTGATCCATATATAGCGCTAATTGTTTTGTTTGTTAAAATGGCATATCTCAACTTCTTCAAGCATAATTTAAAATGACTTAATATTTCTATTGTACACAAGGACTTCTTTTACTGAGGAGGGGGTTTGGAACGTAAAATGAATATTCAAGGACACAGAACGCTGGGTTTCAGCACAGGCCCACCTTTAACGTCAAGGACAAGTTGATCACTGAGGTAGGAGCTGATGGTTCCATTTTTGTTCAGTCTCCACTTCTGCCTCAACTGGCCGTGTTCAGTCCATAGGGCGACTTTAGCTCCAGGTGTGTCCCGACCACCGATCACATCAAGACATGTGTTATTGGCCTAAAAGGGTCAAGAAATAAATGGGCAGAACTGTGGTGTTTGCTACAATCAGTTGGATTGGGTCCCTCTTCTTTCATGTGAACAAATCAGATATTCCATGACTGTCTTGTCTTAAAAAAACTATACAGCATAATTATAATCTCAGTCAACTTTCTGAGTCTTTATGGCTGAAGGGAGGAGATGGTATGGAATTAATGTATAGAACTAGAGGTACTTGTTTTTAAAAGGACATCTGGATCTGACAACAGATGGTCAAAAAAAGTTTTGTAGAATTAGAATTAAGTGTTGAGTCCCTGTTAGCTTATATGTATATGGTCGAGCCTGTTTTCCTGACAAAAACATCAGGTGATGTTCTAGATACCCAGACAATATCTACTTTTTTCTCATGCTTCTACAAAAATGAAAAGCACTTAAAAGTAATTAATTTGCTGGTGATACAATAAAACTGGTGTTCCATTCCCCACAGCATCAAAAATCAGTGGAAGGGTTGCACAAAAGCAGACCTAAATTTTATTTTCTAAGCTTTCTTCAAAAACAGCAGCTTGCTGCTTCTTTCACTGTATATTTTGACAATGAGAAGGCCTCACCATATTTGGAATCACAAAGACGGCCGATTTTATGGGCCATAGAGTGTGAGGAATGTCTCACAGAAGCACAGTGTCCAGCTGGGTAGTGTCTTTTCTCATGGGTTTAGAAAAAATCATTGAGGAATATCCACAGTATATGATAATCTTGCTTTGTACTTTAAAATGGAGAAACTTTTGATGTAGAAAATCTGGTTTCTGAGCCCATTTCACTTAAATGCTTCAGTAACATGTGTCAGTGTTATAATCATGCAACAAACTGTTTACAGGAAGTTGTGTTACCTTATGATGCCATTTGATTAGGCAAGATTCTGGTTTCCAACAGAAAAAAATCCACAGACCACAGAGCGGGGAACAGCGTCCGTGGGGCTGGTTACCTTGGATTTAAAGAGTCCTCGGCAGTAGTGCCAGATCTGAGTGTTCCTCCCACTGTATGGAGACAAGCACACAGAGGTCGCCCGGGTGTCAGCCACGTTCCCGGTGACGGTCAGGTACTCATCCTGGGCTCGGTTCTTTATCCTAATGTACACTGCAGGCTGTGGCGGGAGAAACAGAGCCATTTAGGAAAAAAAACCTTTGAATCTGGAAGTCAGTCCTTCCAAAGGAAAGCTTGGAGGGGAAGTGAGAGGTGATGGAATTTAGCTGATTTATCAGTTTCACCCTTTAAGGAAGTATGTCTAAGTTAATATTTTCTATGGACAAATCCTTAGCCCACTGAGCATACAGCTTAAATTGAACACTCTCTAGTGTATTTTTCTGAAGTATGCTGTTTCAGAAGCGTAAAAGGTGGTCATTTCATTCACTAGGACTCCATTATGGGCAAGGCAGTGGTGCAGAATTAGGGACCTGACATGTTTCATTTGGGATGCTGGGCTGGGAGCGGCAGGGGAGTAGGAATAAGGGCAAGGTGCTACCTACCTGCATCTAACAACATCTCAGTAGAGACAGGACAATAATCAGACATACTGGCTTGAGCTGCGATTAAGTGCCAACTGACCGCTGTGGGTGGTGCTAAAAAACCCAGGCCGCTGAGGGCCCATGTAGCTCGGGTAATCTCTGTTTACATTTAGACTTTGTTGACTTTTATACTTCAAGGGAAGAACTGGGTCACAAGGGACTTCATCTCCTGGGCTTGGAATATATACAGGAAGTTTTCAAATAAAATGTTAAATCTAGGACTTGCCTCTAAGGATGAGTTATTATTTATTGAGATTTAGTGCATACCAAGCAGTGTGTTAAATGCTTTCTGGGCCACTGTGTCATCTATCAGAATTAGTGACCAGAACCACCCTTTAAGAAAGTACAATTATGACCTGCATTTTATAAATAAGGTTAACACAGATATGTAAAAGCCAGGTCTCTGCACCAAAACCCTCCCTCTTCATCCTGTTGCTCTAAGGCCAGTGCAGAAACATACTAGTTACTCTTAGACACAGGGTATGAGAGACTGGTTCCAAAGGTGGCAGTGATGACGGGGACACAGCGCATGACTGAAGCTGCACAGAACCAGGACTTGGACTCCTGGCTTAATGTAATAAAATACAGGATGCCCAACATCCCCGCCTTGGGTCAGGTGTCTGTTAGCATCCTGACTGAAACCTCGCTAAACAGTAATAACACGTAGCCTGTTATTTAATGAGGGAGCACTGTCACTTTGGGAAACCTAAGTGCCAGGGACCTGCAACAAGGTATCAGGGTGAGGCCGCCTGTGAATATTCTATTTTGAAACTTACGATGGATAGACACGAGGCCAGCTGAATTTTGGTAAACTGCTGTCATGTTTAGGCTCCCTAAGGAAATAAACGTTCTGACCACGTAAGTGAATGAAAGGCCACTTTTTTTTATATCTGGTAACTTAAAGCAGGTGAAAGAGACCTCTCCTAGGCAAAATGTTTTACATGTTTCATACCACTACTTCCACATGCATAAGGCAACAGTAAGGACTTAACATGTCTCTACTTCATAAGTCTGTAACTCACATAACCCTTTAAGTCTCCCACTGCAATGATTAATTCTTGAGGCTTCAGGACATCCTCTACTACAGTGTCCTCACCTTGTACACGCAAGGAAACAGGTGTGACCTTCACAGAGGACAGCGTTCCAATTATGTTAGCACCAAACATCACAGTTTTAATCAATTAAGTCAAGCAAGGTACTAATTACCCTTATTACACACTTGTAGTCTGACTCCTCTGTAATTATACATTCAAACACTGATACGCATTACAAGTGCCTTAGTGACTTCCTAATTCCCAGCCTCAGAGAGGATCACGTGTTAATTACTCCTGCATTTCTAAACAAGAATATGAACTAAAGCGGTGCCAACAGCCTTACCAACGAGGAAATATGACTCATAATACTGTTTTAGAAACCCAGAATTCCTTTGCTGGGTTTCAGAGCTGTGGCCGAAATAAACAAAGGGAGCATAATCTATTAGAATATTTTGAAATTAAATGATTCCTATTCTGGTTAAACATTTAAAGTACGATGTAAGGAGAGTAACAGACATGATGGCAATTGTCATAAAACGTCTATGGAAAAGGAGAGGCTACTGTTCTAAATCTCCTTTATCTCAGGACCCTGAACAATAGGCAGAGACATCCTTACCAGCAAGGAACCCCCTTTCAAAAGTGAGGTAAATATTCTCAGCCTCCAACTTGGTTTCTAAAGTTTCTAACAACATGGGATTAAGCATTATTAAATAGTTAGTAAAAGTTAAACTGAAATCCCACTTTGGTCCTGATTTTCACCCCCAAGGCTTTTGGGGTGGAGTGTTACCCATCATCCCATGTGACACGAGTGCGGAATGAGCAAGATGTGCAGGTCAGGGGAGGCTGCACCACACACTCCGCCAGAAAAGTGCACTGAACTCTGGTATCCCTTAGAGGAGCATCTCTGGTTCTCAAGGGACATCATGAATAATCTTTCAAAATAAATGTGTTACTGTGGTAACACCAGAGCCAGATGCTGTGCCAGGCTCTTTAATCCTCACGGTGATACTGAGAGGTAAGCGATGTGATTATGGTTTCATCATTGAGGATCTGAGGTGCCAAGAAATGAAGAGACTACCTGACTGACTACTGCTTCACTTCTGAGGGGCAGAGCTAGGGTTTGAACCAACAGAACCAGAGCGGTGGAGGTGAGCATAGTGTGCACACATGCACATGTCTCTGTGAGAGAGAGAGACAGAGAGAGGGAGGGAGAGAAGGGGGCAGCAAGACCAATTAGGGTAATTTTTTTAACTGGCTATCGTGTATTTACCACTTCATGCGTCACATCTAGCCTCAGAGCCTCAGCATTTATAACCACTATGCTACCCTCAGCTCAGGACCTGAGCTATATGGTGCCACCCTGTAAATGTTTGTCTTATTTTGCAGGAAAGTAGGGTGTGGTTGTTTAAGAACACAGATTTTAGAGCATTTAAGATGTGGGTTCAAATCCTTGTTCTGACACTTGGATGACTTGCCAATTTGCTTTCTCTCTCTGAGCCTTATTTTTCCTTCCAGAAAATGGGAATACAGTTGACCTCTGAACAATGTGGAGGTTGGGGCATCAATCGTGCAGTTGAAAATCTGAGCATAACTTATAGTTATACCCCATATTCTCAGTTCTGCATGTGTGGATTCAGCCAACCCAGGCAGGTCGTTTCTGTAGTGCTGTAGTATTTACCGGAAAAATCTGCATATAGATGGACCTGCGCAGTTCAAACCCGTGTTGTTCAAGGGTCAACGGTAATAACTCCCACCTTAAAGGACTATTGTTGGAATCAAGCAAGAAAGCGTTTCTAAAGGGATGAGAGAAGTCCAAATGGCACGTCTATGGGCCATGGCGTCCCAGCAGCCTAGTTTGGGTTCCCACCCTCCACAGAACCTCCTATCGAACTTCCTCTAAATCAGGCATTGCCTGTGGCTTTTAGATGACCATACACTGTTTTGCATTTTACATTACTGCTCTGAGTGTGTGTTTTACCCAACAAAAATGTAAGCTCCGATAAGGCAGAAACCATGTCGAGCCTTACATATCGTCCATAATTCGTTGCATAATGTCAGACATTCATTTACCCACTTACACATTCATTCCTTCATTAGACAAATAGGCCCTCAGTTCTCACAATGTGCCAGACGTGGTGACGGGCACCAGGTGCAGAGCAGTGAGCACACGTGCACAGTCCGTGCCTCGCAGCAGAGTGAGAAAGCGCCCGGCCCAACAACTACTGCTTACCAGCCGCACGCAGTGTCTTATAGAAAAAGAACCTGGTCTTTAAGGATCTGATTTCCACTGGGAGAGAGTGAAAGACACATGCTGGAGGACCTGACACTTGAGCTGGACTTAGAGGAGTGAGAACTGGCCAAAGAATGAGGGATGAAAACTTGCAGACAGAGGGCACGGCCCGTGCTAGCATGGGGAAGCACCCTGTGCCGGTGCAGGTGACGGAGACGGTGAGAGACGAGGCTGGAGGGGCCGGGGGAGCCAGATCACAGAGGCCACGTTGCAGAGATTAGACTGCACCCCACGTGCAGTGGGAAGCTTTTGAATAGAAGACTGACAAGCAGTAGGTGTGTAATAAATACCCCGTTAACTAGATGCCAGGATCCTTCCTGAGGGTTATGTAAGTGGAAGGGAGGAGCCAGGTACTTAGGAGGTAAAACTTCGTGCACTCTCAGAGCTCATTTTTGTTTTCTGCTGCTTGCCACAGAGCTTAAGATACTTATTTTTCCAAGAAAAGACGACAAGTTCAAGCTTTGGACTCAAAGCTAAAACCCTATGCTGACCTTAGGTACAATTTTATAAAGATCCTCATCCTAATCCGATCCCCCCGGAACATAAATGGCAAGCTGAATTAAACAGTCCATGGTTCAGATGCTGTGGTTTACAACATTTCTACTAGGAAATCAAGTTATTTGGGGACTTATGCTTCTTTTCTCCTTACCTGCTTCATAGGACGGAGAGAGCCAATTGTTTTCCATCCACTGAACGCTGTCCAGTTTGGGATCTCATTAGGCTCGAGTAGGATTTGTCTTCCTAGGAAATTGGGTCCTTCATAAGCTATCCACCTACATGAGAACAAGAAGAAATGGGATGCTTAAATCAGAAAGCAATTTCTAATCAAAAAATACCTGCTACTATACCATACAGGGCTCATTCTATAAAACTTCTAAGTTTGTAGATTCTTCTTTTAGGAAAAACAATGTTTAAGAGTGTATTTTAAGGGAAAATGCAGGAAAAAGCAGGGAGGACTAGGAGAAAGCCCACTGGGCTGGGGCGCCGAAGATTTAGATTCCAGTCAGGGTTCTGGTTTCCTTACTTCCAAAACAAGGTTCCCTCCAGCTCTACAATCCCATGTTCCTTTGATAATAAATACCAAGTTTTTTCCATAATGTAACATTCAAGGATAGACTGTAACCCTTGCCCATCACCCAGGTAAGAGACACCAGCTTCCTGTCCCACTCTCAGGCTCATCGTCCCTCATCCTCAGCAGCCTCTCCGGGAGGCTCCAGCCACCACTCCAGGCACACCCCCTTCCACAACTTCTCCAAGAGAGGACTACTTAAAATTATCTGTAGGATCCTGTCTGAACTCCTCCTTCAAGGTCTGGCTCCAAAGCAACTCCTCAGTACTCCGGGGACCTTCACCATGCACCAAGTCGGAAAATGTATAAAAGCATGCAGGCCCTGGAGGTGAGTATCCGGAGCCCTACTCAGTGGCACACAGTCAGCCCGTTCCTTTCCAGGCTGGCCTTGGCTGCTCTTGTACCCCAACAGCAGGTGGAACAGTTGTGACAGAGGCAGGACGGCCAACAGACTGAAAAGACCATCTGGCCCTTTCTTGAAAAAGTTTGCCGAGCCCAGCCCGAGGTTGTTATCAAGCTGGACAGCTAAGGAGAATCTGGTGGGGCTGCCAGGAGGCTCTGAAATTCTCAGCAGGACTCTAGGTCACCCGCAAGAGGTGCTTTTGGAAAGTATGCATGGAAGATGAGGCAGCTGCCTTGCTTGGTTCAGACAAAGTGCCCTGCTCCCCACAGCCGGGTTCAGGCCTGGCCAGATTACAGATGAATGAGTGAGAGAGACAACCTCCCCTCTGCCCCTTCTTGCTGACACAATCTAAACCACCAGACTGGAGCAGGGTCAGGACAGCGGGACCATGGAGAGGCTGACCCACCTCTCTAGCTTATAGGCAGGTGAGTCTCAGTTATAAAAACCTAAGCAAGATGTGAATTCCACAGCTGCAAAGCGTTAAACCTTGGCCCCCATTACCACCAAAGATCAGAGAGATGGGAAAACATGCTGATTAAACAGAACAAAACAAAACTTGTCACTGAGGGTAGCTGGCTGTGCACTAGGGGGTGTTCTGTGCGCCGTCTGTAGCCTAGAAGGATCCTCAGACAGCCTTCACCATTTCCTCACTCCATGCAGCAGTTCTCTTGCAGAGAATCCAGAACAGTGAGTGAAGGTGAGCTCAAGAGAAGAAATATGATGTTAAGATAAAATGGCACCAGTTTTCTATCTACAAAGAGTGAAATTAGCCTGTGAGAAATTTCCAGAAGTGAATCAGTAATCATCAGTTGCACTTCAAAATGTGGGAAAAAAAATGTACAAGAATGCTATGAAAGTCCTGTACCACAGGGATGAAGAATTCAGTTCAGACTTCATTCAGTGGTAAATAATATACTGGGATATAATATATGGGTTATGAGGCTTAGAGAGCAAATCAATTTATGTTTAATAAACATCAAACCAGGTGAAATGCTTTGCAGAAGGAAATTTAAACTGCTGTACATGTGAATGATACAGAAACCACTTACAGTAAATTTTCAAATCAATTCACAATCTCAGCTTTCTCTTTCATTATCCCCAAATATTTAAAACAAACAGTCGATTATCAGTTTGAAAGTCTTAGGACATGAAAACAGGCGTCTGTATTAATCACTGAGAGCTATGTGTGTTCTTTCAGTCAACTTTTGGTACCAAAACACCAAAGATGCATGCTGACAGTCCCTCTCAGAAACGGCCCGAGCGGGGTAGGCATAGCTCAGCAGTAGAGCGTGTGCTTAGCATGCAGAAGGTCCTGGGCTCAGTACTTACAATAAAACAAAACAAAAAATGGCCTGAGAGGCAGATTTTTCTAGGAAGCATTGGAACTTCAACTTCAGTGCCCCTCACTTGCAGGCTGCTTGTCATTTTTGTTTTCAATAAATATGCAAGTTCATAACGAATTTATGTATCCATCATATTTCATTTCATTTCTTAGAGTCATCTCCCCAGACTGTGAAGGTGCAGGCCCCACAGGACCTGGATCCACCCTGACGGACAACCTGCATGAACAGCAACCGTGGCAGGCGGGCTGGCTCAGCCAGGACTCCAAGCGTGAGCGTAAGCGCTCTGGAGCCAGCAGCCCGAGAGTAAAGGAGATGGCAGAACAAAACACAAAACCCTGTTAGTCCTACAGACAGTCACTTGTCTTAAGCAGGCAATGGTCTCAACTGGCCAGAGTTGCCAGTTTAATGAGGTTTCTCCTGAAAGGAAGGTGGGCGCAAATGGTTAAGCTCACATGGTCCACCTACTCGAGGACACATGGTCTGAACACAAGGCAGCCCTTCTCTCCCCGAGGGCTCTTCTCCCAGACCACTGCCTGCTGTGCCACTGGACACAGGCCACAGCCTTCTCGTGCCTGAAGAGGAACTACTGGTATTACATGGAGAGAGAAGTGGAGTAAGTGGACCATCAGACCAAAACAGCAGCGCGGGCACTGAAACGCAGCCGTGCAACTCCGTCCTACCAGAGTGACCGAAGCAAGCCCAGCCCCCGTCCCAGACTTAGACTTACAGTCCGCTTTTCACGCACACGGACTGGGTGTAGAAGTGCAGGTCCTTGTTCAGAACAGAGTTCACAGCCTCTTCCAGGTATAACTCTCTCCCCTCACAATGTTCCAGAGCAAAAAGGCTAATAGAGGGCTCTTCAAAGACCTAACAGCAGAGAAAAGACAAAAAAAAGCATCACCATACAGGGCAGCCATACCTCAGTGGCTCCCAGTCAGAACGCAGGGCGCCCTGGACCCACTGCTTCTCACGGACATGTCGTTTACTGCTCTACCCTCTGACGGTGTTGTAGTCAAAAGTGCAGTGGTGAGGTTAGATTCCGTTACTAATTTTTCCTCACTTCCTTTGTATACTGAAGTTGAACTTTTGGAAAAGCAATCTTAATCTCGTAATGAAAGTGGAGACCTGGCTCCAATCACATATTAAGGTCTGGTTGTGCTGTAATACGGACCACATTTTGGTCCTGCCTTGCTTTTGGCCGGCAAGAGAATAAACACAGAACGGAAGGGCACTCTCATTTCCCAGGAGGTCACGGAAGCAGTCACTGAGAAAACAAGACTTCATGGATCTAGGCTCTTAAAAACATTACTGGGGGGGGGGAGAAAAGGCATTTCTCATTTAACATCAGCGACAAAAAGCCAAAGGCACAGGGATGGGAGTGATTTCTACATTAAAAGTAAGTATTCGCCCAAGCCCTCATGTCAGACAAGAAGAGAATCAATTTTGTTCTTTTTCATTCATGAATATGTACAAGGTACCATGCTAGGATGGGGAAGAAATCAAAACAAGTCACCATCCTTGTGTTTGGGGCATTACTAACGAGTGGCTAAATTAGGAGAACTGTGCAGATGCTGTAATGCAGTCCAGGGCGGAGAAGCATGTGCCTTGTGAGAGTTCCTAGTGGAAGCCTGGATCCCTTTTAGCAGAAGGGAGCAGGACTCAAGGAAGCTTCCCGGCCGTGGTGGTGTGTGAGCTCAGTCTCAAAGGATGCAATGGATCTGGGGGGCCCTAGGGAGAATAGAAGGAAGGCTCTCTGTGCAAAGAAGGGAGACAGAAATATGCGAGTCACGTTAGGGAAATGGCAAGTAGACCCACTTAGCTCCAACACAGAGTCCAACAAGAAATAGTGTCAGGTGCACCTACTGTCTGCTACTGTGTATTGAGTCGCCCGCTTCTCCGACACCGACAGGGCAGAGCCAGATTTATGCCTGTAAACTGGGCATCCCTGAAGGCTTCTGGGCAGGGGACTAGGATTGGGCTGAACTATCCATAAAGTGGTACATGAGAAGCAGAGCATGAGTGGAGGGACTGTGGATGTTCAGAACAGTAAATAAACAGTCAAACACTGGCTCGTTCAGGTGACCTGCAGATATACTTGCGTAAGAGCAAAATGCACTGTGAAAGCGTTAACCCTGGCAGCAGTGTTTGCAGTAGCAGAGGGCGGAGAATGAATTCAATGTCTATCAAGAGGGCACTGATAAAATAAATTACGGTGCATTCATGGAGGAATCCTGTACCGCTGTAGAAAGAATGAGGAGATTGTTACAAAAGCTCTGCAAGATATATATCTTAGGGGCAAATACCCTCGCTCTGCCCCTCAGAAGCACTGTGACTTTGGGTGAGTCACTTCATTTCTTGGTACCTGAGATTCCTCACCGGTGAAACAGTGTGTGGGGAGAGACTGCAGACAGGGCACACAGGCTATTTTTTAGAGAAGTTTGATGAAGAGGAGGAGGGAAGTGGGCTGGAGGCTTCTGTGAACGCCCGTGGGCCCCGTGGAAAGTGGCAGCATTGGAGGAAGAAGCTAAAGAATGCTTGGCAAGAGGGGTGGTTCTAGGGAAGAAGGCAGTGGTCTGACCCCCTGTCCCGTCAGCTCAGAACCTCTGACTGGACTCAGTCCATGAGGGAAAGGATTGCTTTGAAAAGGATGAACTGTGCTTCCTCTGAAATCCGAGGAAAGATAGAAAAAGAATGCCAAGATATCTCTAGGGTTTTAAATTAGGTAAACATGTGAGTAATTTTCTCTGTACGTTATGTGGCAAAGGTTCCCTGTGGGTCAGGGAAGGTGTGAAGCCCTGTCCAATAGGACTTTCTGCAGCAATAGGAATGTTGTGTATCTGTGCTCCTCAATACGGGAGCTACCAGCCACACGTGGCCACTGAGCATCTGAAATGTGGCTCATGTGGCCATGGGAAATGAATTCATTTTCTTTCATTTTAATTTATTCAAATTTAAACAACCTCACGTGGCTAGTGCTGTGGTATCGGATAGTGCAGGTTTAGGGGTTAGAGGATGCTAGAAAAGAAGGTGCACATCACTGTGCACAGTGAGACAGTCAGCCATGCGTGAGAAAGCTGCCCTGGAGTGCTGATTTTCCTTCAGTAAACAGCAAAAACTGGGTCAGGGATGGAAATTCATCTCCAGTCACTGAGTTCCTGAGTGACTGCAAGCAAGATCAAGCTTCTCTTCTGCTATCTGCAAAATAGGAACTGGAAGCATCCCAACCATTTATAGAAGAAATATCCGTGTAGGAATCCAAAGCAGCAGTAGGTTAGAAACGCAGCCAACAGCCAGCTCTAAATTACCCACTAAAACTGGTGACTGAAAACAAATGGATAATCAAAATCCACAGATAAGCCCCCGACTTTACTGCTGGACTTTCTCCAGCATCTTCACCCTCGAGCTTTTGAAAAAGCATTTCAGCGTACCTTTCACACATCTACCCACTGAGTTACTAATTAGTAAGGAAGGGCAGACAGGCAAGGAGCCTGGGTCTGGCTCATGGTCAGCCATCAGCAACACTCTCCCCAGTAAAGAGTTTGCTGTGACAAGAGCAACAGACACTTACATTAAAGGCATTTGATGCTGACATAATATTTTCAGTTCCACGGGGGAAAAATTGAAAGCTTACTTGGGGATGTAAATTAAATGCTAAGTAATGTTCTGAGAAAAATGTGTATTTTCCCTCTTCCTTTTGCAGAATGCCACAAAGATGTTTTTAAAAGACTGCCATTGTCACTCAGACTGCATCAAATTCGCTCCCCCATTCAAAGACAATCTAGCAACAGTATATCTAAGAATTTATGTTAAGGTGACAATGCAAAATTTGATGGAAAGGATCACAAAAATTGTTTTAAAAATGATGATGGTGGAGAGGGTATGCAGCTCAGTGGTAAAGCATGTGCTTAGTTAGCATGCAAGAGGTTCTGGGTTCAATTCCTAGTACTTCCATTAATATCCATCCATCAATCAAATAACCCCCGCCCCAAATTAAAAACCTAATAAAACTTACTTAATTTTTAAAAATGACAATGCAAGGAGATTAAGGAAAAAATTGTAGAAAATGACTTTGAATATTTTTATGAGTTTAAGAACCTTCTAAGAGACCCAATACATTAACAGGTAAAGAACACAAACCAACAAACAGCATTAACCAAGGAAGAAATATGACTAACTGATGTGGAATAATCTCCCCCCTCTCCACTGACAACAATGGGTATCATCATGTGGTCCCAACTGTCAAACTTTTCATCTTAGAACATCTGTTGTTTCTAAGCTTAAAGTCATTCCCCCTCTAGATGTCTGAGATATATATATATATTTAAATTGACTTTTCTCTATTTAAGTTGTTTTAATTTAATGGTCTTAATTCACAAATATACAGTTGGATCTTGAATAACACAGGTTTGAACTGTGTGGGTCCACTGACAGGTGGATTTTTTCCAATAAAAATAGTATGTGTATTTTCATTTTATGGATATTTAACTAAGTGCGGGTAAAAGTTTCTGTTTGATTAGAGATCAAAATATGTGGAATCAAAAGAACTAGGTTTTAGTCCTGATTCTATCCAGACTGTTTCAGCTTCCTGCCCTTGGGTGAGACATTTATCAGTTCCCTTGTTTTTGAGGCAGAAGTAGCAGTATACAGATTTTCCACTGGCTGCAGGGGTTGTAGGGGGAGTTCAGTGCTCCTAATCCTTTGTGTTGTTCAAGGGTCAACGGCACTTACATTTATAAATGTACTTGATTCATATATGTGCTGAAAGGTTAGAAAGACTAGGAGGGTAATCATTCAGAAATACAGGGTGCTGAAGAACTATTTCAGAATCTTATTTTTCTGACACATTTTCCAAACATGAAAGTAGAGATATAGACTATTAATAGTCTTCAAAACTGAAGATGACACAGTAACTGGAACTTTCCAAGGACAACAGAAACTGCCAGAATTTAATTACAATTTGAGCTCTACAAATCTCTTGGCCTCAGTCCACACTAACTTAGAAGACAGCCAACCATCTGGGGCCAAAGGCTCTTCTTAGGTGTCAGCAGTAACAGGACATTCCTGCTGGGTCATGTCTAAGCCATGCAGAGAGGATACAATTTCTAAAAGGAGGATGTGGTTAAGAAAGAAAAGAATACTTGAACAAACGAACTTTCAGTAAGGAAAAATGAAAACAACTCATCACTCCTCATCCCATCAACTAAAATGATATTTTAAAATATTACAGTAATAGTAATAACTAACATATATATGGCATTTAATATGTTGGGCATCATATGTACACACACACTATAGGTAGGGGATGGTTGATGGATGGATGGAGAGATATATATATATATATCTGAAATCGAAAAAAGCTCTAAAACTCCAATTTTTAAAAATCTAATTCATTTGGCAAAAAGCCTAAGTAGAAGACTATAATATTTATCCAATTTGCATAGCTATGACTATATTTTGCTACAGAAATAGAAATGTGCTCAATTATGGGGTGCTGCCCAGAGCCTTTCTGAGGGTATTCTTTTATATGCTATACGTGAGCCATATGACTGTTTAAAATGTGAAAAATGCCATATATCCAGAAGGAACCCTACTTCAGGATGACACCTGCACT